TCTTCATAAAAATAAGTTTGAGTCTTGGCTTGGGCAATCACCAACTAACTGAACCTTAGTTAGGCAACCTCCTGATTGGTCTTCTTGCTTCTACTTTTGTCTTCTTACTGTTCATTCTCCCACAGTAATCACATAAGCAGGGAGAGCTCCCTTTCTACCTCAGTATCTGCATACGCCGTTTCCACTTTTCCCTCTCAGAGCACCCACTGCCAGTCTTCACACGGACAATTCGATCAGTCCTTCAGGTCTTAAGGCACTTCTCAAGAATGCCGTTCTTGCCTAGGCTAGATTAGATCCTCCTGTTACATGCTCCCTTTACTTTTGTTTTTTTGAGACAGGGTTTCACTCACCCAGGCTGGAATCACAGCTTGTTGCAGCCTTGACCACCTGAGCTCAAGTGATCCTCCCACCTCAGCGTCCTGAGTAGCTGGGACCACAGGTGCACGCCAACACATCCAGATAATTTTTGATATTTTTTTGAAGAAACAAGGTCTTGCTATGTTGCCCAGGGTGGTCTCCAACTTTTGGGCTCACGCAATCCTCCTGCCTTGGCCTCTCAAAGTGCTGGGATTACAGGTGTGAGACACTGCACCTGGCCCCTTATTTTGAAACTCTTATCCCCATTATAACAACATTGATCGTGTCTTTTAAAGTTGTCAGTTTGCCCTGCTAAACTGCAAGCTGTGTGGAGGCAAGAACGTGTCTGTTCACTGCTGTATTTCTAGCACCAAGTGGAGAGTCTGGAGCACAGGTGAGAGTAACCATTACACCCGGTCCTCGCCATTGTCTCAGCCATCCAGGATCACCTGTTGACTTCACAGAGTTAAGAGGTAAACACTTTCAGATCAGTTGGGTTCACAGATGTGCAATATTGTCAGATGAAAAGTAAATTCAACATCTTTCTGGTTTCCAAAAGCAGAATCAAGAAAAATCTGAAAAACTGTGGACCCTCTGAATTTAAACTGACAGCTAACTTCAGATTCAAAATTTGTGAATCATGCCTATAAAATCAAACAAACTAGTAGATTGAATCTGGTATGAAATACTATCATGGGTAACAGCTGTGCCTCCCATCTACTCAATCTGGGTAAAAAGAGGGAAAACACGCAAATGTGTGTTTTCTGCTTGCTCTCATTCTTCATCTTTCCACCTTTATTGTAACTGCAAAAAGCCCCAGGCAACAGAGGGGGAGGGCTGCCTGAGCTTCTTATGACAATCTGGTTATACTGAGCCATACATGCTGTATTAACCATGAATTTCCACCCCAACCCACATCACGTTCCTCATTCATTCCCATCCATTTTCCATCTTGGCTTTCCTCCCTCACCCGTCTCTTTTTCAGCTTTACTTTCTACCACTCAACTTCTCTCAAGACGTGAGGCACAAAGATACAGCAGAAAGAGGGCTGGATTTAAAGACTCCTGGAGCCTTTTCTTGGAGAAACTGCTAAAACATTATCACAGGAAATTATTCTGGAGTCTGGGAAAAAGAAGAGTTTAATAAAGTAAAGACAGTTCAGAGAAAGAATGGAAAAAGAAGTAGGATAACATGAAATTGTTAGGAAGAAAAGACTCCTGGGCCTTACACTCATAATTAACCCTGTAACTCCCACACCGCCAAACATCTACAGTGAAGAGCTTGTGTATCTTAGGCTGCTGGCCACCACCTTGCACGTGAGAGAATTTAATCCAACAAAGGAGACCAAGTCATTTTCTGACAATGGTGTAATGTTTCTGTTTTATTAGAGACAGGGTCTCCCTCTGTTGCTGAGGCTGGAGTGCAGTGGTGCGATAACTCATTGCAGCCTCAAACTCCTGACCTCAAGCAATCTTCCCACCTCAGCTTCCCAAACTGCTGGGATTGTAGGTGTGAGCCACGCCATCTGGCCTTGATAGTGGTGTTTTGGTAAGATATCTTATCTGTTCTTGCTGCTTAGCCCAAAGAAATATACTGTTCAAGATCTGCAATCAGGCTTCATGTACGGATGTGGAGAGAAAGGAGTGGCTAGGCACCGTGTTATTAAATAATAAGTGGGGTTTTTTTTTTTTAGTAATAAACACCCTATAACAGCTTTCATAAAACCCAGTTAAGATTGGAGCTTTAGAATTACCAATATCCAAGACAATACTTAAAATTACAATCTCCCCCGGTGGGGGGGCGGTTGAGGGGGGGAACCTACCACAGACTGCTTATTTATCCCACCTGCAATGTGATTGCTTGCAAACAGGTAACTCGTGATTCTGAATAATTATCCTGCATCCAACCCAGTGGTGTTGCGACTGCTGACATTCCACACAAGAAAGCAAGTCTTTTCTCGTGAAAGGTGTCAGTTATGTGGAAAGGACCAAAACCCACCTCAGTGTCCCCAGTGTTAATTCTCCTTTGTATATTTCCCTAGGGAACTTTCTGACCACTGCCCCCTCAATCCAGGACTGTGTGTGTACAATCCCCCAACCTCCGTTAAGGTTCATTTCACCCTGTGGAAGCTAGAAGGAGATGAAAGCACATCTCCAGGAAGAATTGGGCTTATTTCCTCCACACAGACAATAACCGCCACCTGCATGAGGATTTACACGCCTCCCCCCACCAGCTTCCTAGTTCCTATGTCATAGAGTCACAGCCACTCGTACCCCAGAGAACGATGAGGAGAAAGAACAAAGGGGCCAGGTGGCTCGGGCAGAGGGAGGAAAAGGTGGCTTCTCTCTCACACTCCCACAATACAGCTATTGCCAGTGGAAGCCAGGTTGATCCCCATCTCAGGCTGTGTAGAGACAGCTGTTGGAGCCAGAATAGGAAAAGGAAGGAAAAAACTGTCCTCCCTAAGGACTGCTAGTTTTTTTATTTTGAAGGAAGGAAAATGCTGAACACAAACGGGAGCCTGTCTTGAAGCACTGTGGAGCTTTCATCTATCAGTTTAGTTCTATCCTGCCATGAACCACTCCTTGGCAATTCTCACCAGCAAGTTGGAGAGCCTGAACATGAACGAAGTCAGCCATAGGAGGAGGCCATTGTTTACTCTTTTCCCAAAGGGCACAGTCAGTGACAGGAGTCTTCGGCAGGCACCTGGCACACAGTCACATCCACTACAGGAAGTCAGCAGGGAGACCTTACAGGAAGGTTCTGGGAGGGGCTCCTTCTCTATTCTCTCAAGAGGCCTGGGAGGACTGTCAGAGTAAGGGTGAGGAAGAAATAAAATCAGAGAAGGTGAAAAGCTGAAAATTCACACAGGTTTCCTTGTCCTGTTTTTCTGTGGAAGAAGTAGGAAAAAAAAAAAAAAAGAAACTTTACAATTATTGGTGGGATTATAACGAAAAAAGGTAACTCTATGTGACCATATCTATAATTTCATGCAATGACAGTTCTTTGACCAGACCATAAAATTTCTGTCATTTATACATTTTCATTTACTGTCCCTCTCTCTTATTTTTTAAAAATAGAGTTTTACTATGTTGCCCAGGCTGGTCTTAAACTCCTGGGCTCAAGCAATCCTCCCATCTCAGCCTCCCAAAGTGCTGGGATTACAGGTGTGAGCCACTGTGCCTAGCCTCTATTTTACTTTTATTACATAAACATAACATGGTCATTATAAAAGTTTAAAAATCTTGATAAAAATTTTTAATTAAATTCTCTCAATTCCCAGAGAAACTTTGCAATTAACATTTTAGTATATCCTTTCATATTTTTTTTATACACACATAAAAATACACGATGGGTTAGTTGGTAGGGGTGTGTTTATAAAAATTTCCTCTATTACAACTATTGGAATTTTTTCACAGAAGTCACAAATATCTGTTTGTGCAAATAAATCTGTTTGCATTCTTTTCTTAAACATTCTTGAGAGATACCCCTGCTATTTAGTGTTAAAGTCAACCCAGAAAGCATGTGAGGGCATCTGTAATGCTGCTGAGGGTTTAAAAGCCAAAGAAGTAAGTACCAAGTTCCCCTACAGCAATAAAAAGTTCAGGAACCCCCCAACTATCTCACTGACAAACCTTCAGAAAGCCCTCCTGAGTTAATACCTAAAATAACACCAAGAAAAAGCTAGGACTCTTTCCTGGAGGATCTTTTGCTAGCTGCCTGAAGTGAGAAAAACCTTTTGTAACCACTTTTACTGAAGGTGTGCAATGTGGTGTAGAATGACTGCTGATACTAAGGTTTCATAATTATCTTACTTTCCCTTATTTATCCACAACAAATATTTTCTCAAGAAATCATAAGGAATTGTTTAGTACTAATGTAATAAAAGGATTTGGCCAAACCATGAAATACATGAGAAATAGTTTTCTTAACTACAGAAAACCATATGCTATCATAGTTATGAACGAAGATTATGGGTTTCATGGTATAGGCAACTTAAAACAGATGTTTAACAACACTTCCTGCAGTCCTAAGGAAAAAAAAAAAAAAGTTAGATGATCTCAGGCTTTTTTTAACATCAACATCCTTCAGCCTAAAACTTACTACTTTTTGTCCACCACCACCTTCCTCTTTCATAGCATGGGTTAGTCCACTACAGAAATGTAAAAGCTCCAATGTGGTTTACTATTTTGTAGAGTGGCAGACCAAGCAGTTATACACAGACACAAGAAAAGCATGCTTATATCATTTATACAACGGTACCCACCATGCAGGAAGAGAATTCTTATCACTAGCCCTATCTTTGAAACCCTCTCTTAAATGTGAAAGACAATTTAATAGAAAGAGGTCTAAAATATATCTGCATAAAGAGCAATTCAGAAGGGAATGTGCCCACAACCAAGGCCTGCCTATTTCAGATTGAACATGGCCAGCAGTTTATCTTAATCTGTCTCCCCATCACCATCTTTAAATTAAGACACTTCCTGTTTTTAACCCAGTCTCTCTCATTGCTTGCACACACTCTGTGCCAAATCTTAACATTCAAGCTTGTTTTCATTCTTGTATAGACTTTAGATTTATACATTGTTTCAGGGTAAAATATTTCTGAAAACAGAAAAGGCAACTTTGCTCTTCAAACTTACCCAGGGCTTTCCAAGACAGTTCTGTGAATTCAAGTCCTTCCCCATTGACAAAATGTTACTGTAAACGTTCTTGTTAATTGAACCCAAGACACTGTCAGCCTGACATTAGAGGGGCTCACAAAACTTAGCCGGCAACCTTTTGTACTGAGCAAAATACAGATTACCAAATGAGCAGCCAGCATGTCTAAGGGACTCTCGTGCTGCAATTTGAGAAGGCTGAAAAAGAACACCAAGAGAGGGAGCTGCTAATTAATTCTTCTCCTATCAGCCCCAAATGTTTCAAACAACAACTGATCTGGGAACACAGTTTTGACATTGTTGAGATAATGACCTGATTTGTTCCCAAAATGCTGGGAGAGCTGCTGCAACCCTATCTGGTGAGAACCATTTGTACTCTTTCCTTCCCAAAGCCAGAGTAGGCTGCTTTCCAAAGACAAGGAATACTTCCTGTCTTTTTTCCAAGCCTGACAGTCAAGGGGCTAACTGTGCATTAAAGCCTTATCAACACAGCACTGAAGTATGGGCTACTTTAGATTAGCCCGTACTTGGTTGCCAAAATAGAATTTCCTGACAGATACTATTAAAATACAGATGTTTTACAGTGTGCCCAGAAACAGAAATTAAGGACACAAGATTGCACAGAATTTACTGCTCAGGGAGAGTGGGGGTGGGAGAGGGAATAGTGAAAATGGCTACATAAGAATAAACAGATGAAACCTACAACGTGATGAATAAGAGTTCTATGGTAGAGAGGTGGGAGAGGCAAGGTGAAAACTGCCACAAGCAAATGAGACTGCAGCAAAGTATGTAAGGAGACTGTTCTCAGGTCCACCCACCTCCAGCTATCATCCTCTCTCACCGCCTTTCCCCTTAAGCCTGAAAGGTTTGCAGACACCAGGGTTTCTCAGCACAATTGGTATTTGGGGCTGGATAATTCTTTGTTGTTAGGAGTTGTCCTGGACACTGCAGAGTGTTTAGCAGCATCTCTGGCCTTTACCCACTAGATGACAGTAGCACCTACCCTCTCTGGTTCAGTTTTAACCATCATAAATTTCTTCGGATATTGCCAAATGTCCCCTGGGAGGCAACACTGCCCTAGATTGAGCAGTGCAGATATATCCTAGGCCACCATGCATGGAAGGTGTATTCCGCATACTAAACAAGTGCACCCAGCTAAGGTGGTACCTAAGAGCTGAAGTCCCACGCACGGTCGACTCACCAAACCAGGGACTATGTCCATCCAGAAAGGCACACATTTTCTAATGTCCTCAAAGACTCTGTACTAGCAGGGCGCGGTGGCTCATGCCTGTAATCCCAGCACTTTGGGAGGCAGAGGTGGACGGATCACTTGAGGTCAGGAGTTTGAGACCAGCCTGGCCAACATAGCAAAACCCTGCCTCTACTAAAAATACAAAAAAATTACCTGGCATGGTGGTGCATGCCTGTAATCCCAGCTACTTGGGAGGCCGAGGCAGGAGAATCCCCTGAACCCATGAGGCAGAGGTTGCAGTGAGCCAAGATCACGTCACTGCACTCCAGCTTGGGTGACAGAGCAACGAGATTCCGTCTCATGGGGCGGGGGGTGGGGGGGAGAGGCTCTGTACAGGCCAAGAGAAGTACTGCATCTCCATATGCGGTCACTCTGCCATGAAGCCCCTGAAAGTTCTTGTTGCTAAGCCCAGCAGAAATGACTCAATTCTCATGGCTCTGCAGGAGCTAATGCTGGTAACCACTGCCACTTTGAAATGCACCCTTGAAGGTTTCCTCCATGCTTTCTGTCCATTCTTCCTCAGTCTCCTTTGCAGGTTGCTCTTCAGAGTTCTGCCCTAAGCCCTCTTCTGCTCCCCCACCTCTAACTAGGTGATCTTATCATCTCATCCGCTGCAGTTACCATCCACATGGAAAAGACTCCCAGAACTCAATTCATTGCGCTCTGTTTTCTGAACTTAAATGCAGGGTTCAAGCTCACATTTCCCCTTCAATGACCTGTAGATCCTTGAACTCAGTATGTCCATAAATGGGCTCATCATCCACCCTCACAAACCTCCCAGGCTTCCTTTCACTGAGTAGCAGCCAGATCCTCCCAGAAGTCTGGGCACTGGACTTGATGTTTCCCTCTCCCCATTCAATCAACTCACAGAGATTCTACTCCTAAACTGCCATATGTCCACTTTTTCTAGTCCCAAGGCCAGCTCAGGCTACAATTTCTCTCACTGGGGGATTACTACAGGTGCCTCCATTCTCAGGCCACCCTCACACACCCAAGCTGGAGGGGTTCTTCCAGCCAGCACTTCACCTACCAACTTAAAACTTGTCAGTGATTTCCCACCACCCTTGAGATAAAGTTTAAAATTTCTTAACAGTTTACCAGGCCCTTTATGACCTACCCTCCCACCCCCCCACACCCAACAATCACACACTAAACTCTCTTTGGTTCTAAACACAGGATGCTCCCCCTCCTCTCCTCTTCCCCAAATCTACCACTTCACTTGGCTAACTCCACCTCACCCAACAGGTTTCAGCTTCAACTCTCTGACCTCCACCTCCCACTGATGTTCCCAGTATTATGTGCCCATAACAGCCCGTACTTCCCCTATCAGAGGGCTTACTCTGCTTATTTGTCTGGTTTCCCGATGAAATATGTTACATCTCCGCTTTGCATCATCCATCAGCTTTGGCCTCACTTATTCCTCCACATAGTGTTTGTTGGCCGGTCCATCTATTAATTGTTAATCTCAAATTTGTTATGGCTCATCAGCAATAGTGAAAATAATAAGTACCATGACTACAGAATGCCCCTCTCTGCACCAGATGCTGTAGTGATGTTAAAATACATAGACAACACAGAACTAGTCCTCAAATATATTAAAGTGGGGAAATGACATAAGAAGTTAACAGGGCCTGGTGCAGTGGCTCATGCCTGTACTCCTAGCACTCTGGGAGGCTGAGCAGGGGTGGCTTGTTTGATTCCAGGGGTTCGAGACCAGTCTGGGCAACATGGTGAAACCCTGACTTTACAAAAAATAAAAAAAATTGGCCGGGCGTGGTGGTGTACACTTGTGGTACCAGCTACTCAGGAGGCTGAGGTGGGAAGATCACTTGAGCCTAGGAAACGGAGGTTGCAGTGAGCCATGATCATGCCATTGCACTCCAGCCTGGGCAACAGAAGCTCACCTCAAAAATAAAAATAAAATAAAATAAAATAAAAATAAAACAAAAGTAACAGAATATGAAATGTTATATTTACTAAGCAAATAAAGGTAGCCTAAGAAAATAGGTAGGTAGGTAAGAAACAAAAAATTGAGAAATTATCAGGATTAAATAGATATGATATGGAGCCTCCTCACAGAGAAGCCCTGGATGTGGATTCAGATTTTGAAGATGGTAAGGGGCAAAACATCAGGCATAGAAATTAACTAGAGAAATGTCAAGTCTTGCAACAATCAACTACTTTTTAAAATCAATTAGAGTTACATTTTTTTAAGTGGAAACTTTGTAAACTGCTGCTAGTTTTCCATCTGCACTGATGGCATGACGCAGAATGGTCATTTTTTGGTGAATGAGAACAAGTCACTGAGATCTGTGCCGACTTCCATAGAAGGACAAACACACAGTAGTGTGTCTTCTGAAGCCTGGGGATTTTCAAACATCAATGTTTTTTGTTTTGTTTTGTTTTTTGAGATGGAGTTTCACTCTTGTTGCCCGGGCTGGATTGCAATGGTGTGATCTTGACTCACTGCAACCTCCAACTCCTGGGTTCGAGCGATTCTCCCACCTCAGCCTTCCGAGTAGCTGGGATTACAGGCGCCCGCTACCATGCCCAGCTAATTTTTTTTTGTAGTTTTAGTAGAGACAGCGTTTCACCATGTTGGCCAGGCTGGTCTCGAACTCCTGTCCTCAAGTTATATGCCCACCTCGGCCTCCCAAAGTGCTGAGATTACAAGCGTGAGCCACTGCGCCCGGTCTCAGTGTTCTCAAAATACATTATATTGTATAGAAAAATTAATAAACAGGTTGGGTGACAAGTTAGTTAACTTGTTACCTTTAACGGTTTATCACTTTTCCTCCCACTTTTATTAAGGTTATAATTAAAAAATAAAAACTGTATATATTTACAATGTACATGGTTTGACGTACATAGACTTTGTGAAATTAAATCTAGCTAATTAACATATCTACCTCACACTTATTTGTGCTGAGAACATTTAAGAGCTAATTTCTTAATTTCCAAGTATACATTAACTACAGTCACCACACTAGATCTCCAGAACATATTTATCCTTACTGAAACTTTTTACCTTTAACCAACATCTTCCCAAGTACTCCTAATCTCCCAGACCCTGACAACCACCATTCCACTCTCTGCTTCTGTGAGAGTTTGATTTTCTTGGATGCCACATATAAGTGAGAAAACGCAGTATTTGTCTTTCTGTGTCAGGCTATTTCATTTATGAATAGGTTCATCTATATTGTTGCAAATGACAGGATTTCTTCTTTTTTAAGGCTGAAGAGTATTCCATTGTACACGTATACCATATTTTCTTTACCCATTCGTCTACTGATGAACACTTCCATTGTCTCCGTATCTTGACTATTGTGAATCATGCTGCGAGGGACACAGGCGTACAGGTATCTCTTCGATTTCAGTTCCTTTGGACATATACCCAGAAGTAGGATTGGTGGATCATATGGAACTTCAGTTTTTATTTTCTGCGGAACTTCCATACTCACACTATTTTCCATACTGGTTGTACTAACATTCTCATCAACAGTCTAAGAGGGTCCCTTTATCTCACATTTTCGCAGCACACTTGTTACCTTTTGCCTTTGATAACACCCATTCTAGTAGACGTGAGGTGATATCTCACTGTGGTTTTGTATTTTTTAGTAGAGACGAGGTTTTGCCATGTGGCTAGGCCAGTCTTGAACTCCTGACCTCAAGTGATCTGCCTGCCTCGGCCTCCCAAAGTGCTGGGATTACAGGCATGAGCTACTGCACCCGGCCGCTCATGTGGCTTTGATATGCATTTCCCTGACTAGTAATATTGAGCACCTTTTCATATATCTGTTGGTCATTCGTATGTCTTCTATTGAGAAATGTCTATTAAGGTCCTTTGTTCATTTTTTAATCAGGTTATTTGTTTTCTTGCTATCGAGTTGTATGGATTGCTTGTATATTTTAGATATTAACCCCTCAGATGTATGGTCTGCAAACACTTTATCCCATTCTGTAGGCTGTCTCTTCATTCTATTGTGTGTTTCCTTTTCTATGCAGCATTTTTTTTTAGTTTAACACAATCCCATTTGTCTATGTTTGCTTCTGTTGTACTTTTGAGGTCATATCCAAAACATCATTGCCCAGACTAATGTCAAGAAGCTTTTTCTCTGTGTGTTCTTCAAGTAGTTTTATACTTTTGGATCTTACTAAGTCTTTAGTCCATTCTGCAGTCAAATCCTCTACCTGAGCCATGCCCCCGAATCTTTAGTCCATTTTGAGTTGATTTTTGTATACGGTGTGAGAAAGGGGTTTAATTTTTCTGTATATGGATGTCCAGTTTTTCCAACACCATTTATTGAAGAGACTCTTTCCTCCATTGTGTGTTCTTGGCAACTCTGTCAAAGAGCCACCGACTGTAAATATGAATTATTTCTGGGGTATCTATTCTGTTCCATTGGTCTATATGTCTGTTTTTACGTCATTACTATGCTGTTTCGATGACAGCTTTTTAGTATATTTTGAAGTCAATAGTATGATGCCTCCAGTTTTTTTGGGGGGGGTTTTCAACAAACCAAAACTTAAGAGATGCAGCAAAAGCAGTACTACAAGGAGGTTTACAGCAATAAACTCCTACATTAAGGAAGAAAGATCTCAAATAAACTTACCTTTACACCTCAAGGAATTAGAAAAAGAACAGCCCAAAGTCAGCAGAAGGAAAAAAATGAACATCACAGCAAAAATAAATGGAGACTAGAAAAACAACAGAAAAGATTAATAAAACCAAGAGTTTTCTGAAAAGATAAAATTGACAAATTTTATCAATTTTAGCTGAACTAAAAGACAAAATTATAAATGAAAGATGAGACATTACAATTGATACCACAGAAATACAAATGATTATAAGAGACTACTATAGACAAATATATGCCAACAAATTAGATAACCTAGAAGAAATGGATAAATTCCTGGAAACATACAACTTACACCAAGGCTGAATAATACAGAAATAGAAAATCTGAAGAGACCAATAGTTAAAGTAAGGAGATTGAATCAGAAATCAAAAACCTCTCAACA